AGGACAGTGTATATCACTGGGATAATACAGGTTATACTTGAGTGTGTGTAGTTTATCTTCCTTAAGGACAGTGTATATCACTGGGAAACTACAGGTTATACTTGAGTGTGGGTAGTTTATCCTCCTTAAGGACAGTGTATATCACTGGGAAACTACAGGTTATACTTGAGTGTGTGTAGTATATCCTCGTTAAGGACAGTGTATATCACTGGGATACTACAGGTTATACTTGAGTGTGGGAAGTACATCCTCCTTAAGGACAGTGTATATCACTGGGATACTACAGGTTATACTTGAGTGTGGGAAGTATATCCTCCTTAAGGACAGTGTATATCACTGGGATACCACAGGTTATACTTGAGTGTGGGTAGTTTATCCTCCTTAAGGACAGTGTATATCACTGGGGTACTACAGGTTATACTTGAGTGTGGGTAGTATAGCCGCCTTAAGGACAGTGTATATCACTGGGATACTACAGGTTATACTTGAGTGTGGGTAGTTTATCCTCCTTAAGGACAGTGTATATCACTGGGATACTACAGGTTATGCTGGAGTGTGGGTAGTATATCCTCCTTAAGGACAGTGTATATCACTGGGATACTACAAGATATACTTGAGTGTGGGTAGTTTGTGATTAATACCACCAATCGTTAAGGACAGTGTATATCACTGGGATATTACAGGTTATACTTGAGTGTGGGTAGTATAGCCGCCTTAAGGACAGTGTATATCACTGGGATACGACAGGTTATACTTGAGTGTGGGTAGTATAACCTCGTTAAGGACAGTGTATATCACTGGGGTCCTACAGGTTATACTTGAGTGTGGGTAGTATAGCCGCCTTAAGGACAGTGTATATCACTGGGATACGACAGGTTATACTTGAGTGTGGGTAGTATAGCCGCCTTAAGGACAGTGTATATCACTGGGATACTCCAGGTTATACTTGCGTGTGGGTAGTATATCCTCCTCAAGGACAGTGTATATCACTGGGATACTACCGGTTATACTTGAGTGTTGGTAGTATATCCTCCTTAAGGATAGAGTATATCACTGGGAAACTACAGGTTATACTTGAGTGTGGGTAGTATAACCTCGTTAAGGACAGTGTATATCACTGGGGTACTACAGGTTATTCTTGAGTGTGGGTAGTATATCCTCGTTAAGGACAGTGTATATCGCTGGGGTACTACAGGTTATACTTGAGTGTAGGTAGTATATCCTCGTTAAGGACAGTGTATATCGCTGGGATACTACAGGTTATACTTGAGTGTCCTTAAGGACAGTGTATATCACTGGGATACGACAGGTTATACTTGAGTGTGGGTAGTATAGCCGCCTTAAGGACAGTGTATATCACTGGGATACGACAGGTTATACTTGAGTGTGGGTAGTATAACCTCGTTAAGGACAGTGTATATCACTGGGGTACTACAGGTTACACTTGAGTGTGTGTAGTATATCCTCCTTAAGGACTGTGTATATCACTGGGATACTACAGGTTATGCTTGAGTGTGGGTAGTATATCCTCCTTAAGGGCAGTGTATATCACTGGGGTACTACAGGTTATACTTGAGTGCGGGTAGTATATCCTCGTTAAGGACAGTGTATATCGCTGGGATACTACAGGTTATACTTGAGTGTCCTTAAGGACAGTGTATATCACTGGGATACGACAGGTTATACTTGAGTGTGGGTAGTATAGCCGCCTTAAGGACAGTGTATATCACTGGGATACGACAGGTTATACTTGAGTGTGGGTAGTATAACCTCGTTAAGGACAGTGTATATCACTGGGGTACTACAGGTTATACGTGAGTGTGGGTAGTATATCCTCGTTAAGGACAGTGTCTATCACTGGGATACTACAGGTTATCCTTGAGTGTGGGTAGTATATCCTCGTTAAGGACAGGGTATATCACTGGGGTACTACAGGTTATACTTGAGTGTAGGTAGTATATCCTCGTTAAGGACAGTGTATATCGCTGGGATACTACAGGTTATACTTGAGTGTGTGTAGTATATCCTCGTTAAGGACAGTGTATATCGCTGGTGTACTACAGGTTATACTTGAGTGTGGGTAGTATAGCCGCCTTAAGGACAGTGTATATCACTGGGATACAACAGGTTATACTTGAGTGTGTGTAGTATATCCTCGTTAAGGACAGTGTATATCACTGGTGTACTACAGGTTATACTTGAGTGTGGGTACTATATCCTCGTTAAGGACAGTGTATATCACTGGCGTACTACAGGTTATACTTGAGTGTGGGTAGCATATCCTCGTTAAGGACAGTGTATATCACTGGGATATTACAGGTTATACTTGAGTGTGGGTAGTATAGCCGCCTTAAGGACAGTGTATATCACTGGGATACTCCAGGTTATACTTGAGTGTGGGTAGTATATCCTCCTTTAGGACAGTGTATATCACTGGGATACTACAAGATATACTTGAGTGTGGGTAGTTTGTGATTAATACCACCAATCGTTAAGGACAGTGTATATCACTGGGATATTACAGGTTATACTTGAGTGTGGGTAGTATGTCCTCGTTAAGGACAGTGTATATCACTGGGATACTACAAGTTATACTTGAGTGTGGGTAGTTTGTGATTAATACCACCAATGTTCTCCCCATTTATTTATTTCCTTTTGACATTTGGTCAACCCCTATGGAATGCTTGCCTATATGGTTAAAGTACCTGATATGAACAGTACCTGATGTGAGGGTGCTTGGATGGCGCAGTGGATAGTGCACTTGGCTTTCACCAAGCGGCCTGGGTTCGATTCTCCGATCAGACGTGAATCGGTATTGGGTCACCTGCCCGACCATGTGGGTTTTCTCCGGGTACTCTGGTTTCCTCCCACAGTAAGACCCATTGCATGCTAACACCTGGGCCAGCAAGAGTGATAAGTTTAGGGTAGTTAAAAACTTCTTTCATGATTGTTGTAAAATAAATAAAGTATATATATACACCTGACGTGTAGCTATAGTTGCTATGGAATGATGGACTGTAAAGGTTACAATACTTTGTGTGTACTAGCTCCTATTGAGTGACTGTATGAGGTTAGATTTCTGATATTGATTTGATAAACATGATTTGTTTGACATATTGAGGAACTGTCAAAATGTCATTTCTACACAAGCTATATAAATTTCCCTTAACATGATAGACGATTGTGATATTAATATCTTGCATTTCCACTATAGCATTGGCCAACAAAATCAATGTATAGAAATAGTTCTGGTTTCATAAAAATAATTATAAAGATTCTATGTTGCGTCCTAACATTGAGTAGATGAAATATTTAAATATATATTTGTCAATGCTGAACTCATATTACTGACTTCTTTGATATCTAGTTTTAATGTAAATCCTTACAATAATGATAAATGTCATTTTGATGAGAAGTTATTAAATTTGGTCATGTTCACAATCAGTATTTTTTTCCGTATGGACTATATATATATACTAGCTATAGCTTTGAAGGTACATTGATATCACACACAGGTAACACACATGTATATACATAGGTATTACCTATGAGAATGTATACCAGTGGTCACTTTGACCCAGTTTTTGTATCAAAATAAGCAAAATTAATATTGTAAGGTACCCAATTTATTTTGTTACAAATTTGTCTCACAATCCTATATGAAACTTTATTAGTCACCCACATTTGAAAAGTCCAGCACTATCACATCAGTACTTATATATACTTTTCATTCTAAAATACCTTTTAAAGTGCTGCCAATAACTCATAAAATGTCAACAATTACACATATGTTGGTTTAGTTAATATTAAGCAATATGTAATTGTATTAAAGCCATATATTTGTAAGAAACAAAATAAAGATCAAGAAAAATTGTGGGAGACCCCAAAAAATTACAGATGTCTCTTATTCTTTTATGAAATCAACTTAATAACCTTCTTTGAAAACAGCATTTAGAAAGTTCTAGTGTTATCATTGTAGGGACTAAATAATAATAAGAAATATCACTTTTTGAATATTTGTTGATCAATCATTTGATATTATGCACCTTTTTTATGGTGAAATGCAAAACAAAATGTACCTCATATATTTTCATAATTCCATATGTAAGTAGTATACCATGTACTTATTAAGACATATATCGTTTGATGATTTCATCAAATTAAACCAATTAGATCAACACCATATTTGAAATTTAAATATGATTTTTTTGAAAATGTTATCTGAAATAGAGTTTTTTCATGTTATTTATTTAATGATGATCATTGTAAATTGTGAACATTTCGGGTTTAGTTTCAGAAATCGTAACACCATAGATTTTAATTTGTTGAAGATGTGCTGCATAAACTGTTGTCAATTTGTGCCATAAGGCTTTCTTTGTGATGTGTACAATGAATAAGCTCAATCTTTGTAAGGATACATGAATCCGTACAACACAGTGTCAAACTTCAAACAATGATACCAGAGTATCTGACAGTACATAATGTAACTTTAAACGAACTACCTAAGTTTTGAATACAGAAGTGTTATATTACGTATTGTCCTTCCCTTTATTACCTAGCACCATATAAGTACCACTCGATCGGGGCCGAGAACTGTGTACACCGGTAGAAACAAGCCGATGACACGCTGGAATGACTTTCTCCATTCCTGGAGAATGTACCCTGTGATTGGATATATTTAGACGATCGTAGAGAACATTGGGGCGATTGTTATTCGCCTCATTGCTTATACGCTATCTTTGATCTGTTTCATTGACATGGTTTGTTATTTTCGCCTCATGTGTATTCAAAAGCTTGGATTGAAAGGACAGCAAGTTTATTGTTATTAGGAGTTAGTCTATCACATTGGCAATATTGTGGTAAACAGTAGATCTGTTGCCACAGATTACTTGATATCACACCAGCCAATAGACAAGTGGTGAAGACGTATCCTAGTGTCCCAGAGACAGTTTAGCCTTGTGATTGGATGGATAGCGGTCTGTCCTAAGTATGTATACAATATCAGGGGCTTTCAACAAACAAGAGATCACATCTTCTTAGCTTAAACTGGCATTTTTCAATAGTGGAGAGAGTTTTGGTCAACATGGGTGACAGCAGGTAAGTGTCTGCCTATCTCTCTGATGTATTACCTAGGTATACTATCCCTACATAGTAATGGGACTGTATTTCTATATTGGGACAATACTTGGTAAATTATACTATCCATCCATGGCATTGGGATAGATTTTCTATATTGGGACAATACTAATGTAATACCTTGGTAAATTTATTATACATCCATGGCATTGGGATTGATTTTCTATATTGGGACAATACTAATGTAATACCTTGGTAAATTTTATTATCCATCTATGGCATTGGGATAGATTTTCTATATTGGGACAATACTAATGTAATACCTTGGTAAATTTTAATATCCATCCATGGCATTGGGATTGATTTTCTATATTGGGACATTACTAGTGTATTACTTTGGTAAATTATACTATCCATACATAGTATTGGGACTGTATTTCTATATTGGGACAATACTAATGTATTACATAGTATTGGGACTATACTGATGCATTGGTACTATACTAATAATTCTTTAAGAAGTCTACATACTTGTTCTGTCTGTTGGTCATCTAAATGAAATATGAACTGCTTAGATGCATTTTCTGTAATAGATCCATGAATTCTTAAAGGACGGTGCCAAACTTTTGTAAGAGAGAAAGTAGTCTTGTAGGAAAAGACATCATTTTACTTGAAAATAAAAAGTACAATTTGGTCATAAGGGAAAGGACTGGGCCCCTTCAAGGCCCCTTCTACACACATAGATAATGAACTCATTACAACATCAAAAATTCGATAAAATGCTGATAATAAATGTTGTACAAATATGACAAGATATTGAAAGAATTTGTGACAAAAAGAAATTCTCTTGAAAGTTATGACAAATATTTGAGGCAGATATTGATCCTCCTTATAGCTGCTTACATTGAATTGATACCATGTAATTTGTTTGCTGTTTTCTGCATCGGTTTAGGAATATCGATATATGTCCATGTCTGCTAATCAATACAGTTATACATGTATCATACACTGATATTACTCTGCAGAATTCTGGTACCATACCCTGTGAGGCTGTCTGTGTCCAGTGTGGTACATAATGTTACTCTACAGAATTCTGGTACCATACCCTGTGATACTGTCTTGGTCCAATGTGGGACACTTTGCAGAAAGTGCATATATATCTAATACAATTAAATTCATCAAAAATAATTTTGATTATTGGTCAGTTGTGACATTAAAGGACATTTGATAGGGCTGTGAACTACCGGTGCTTTTGTATTTGATGCACAGGTTGATTCCCCTCTTATTTCAATAAACCGTAAGAACTTAACATTTTTGATGAACTGATTGGAATTAAACTTAACTCTCACAATTGAATACTTCTCTGGATCGTGTAAAATATACCCCAAAACATGTTTATTAACTTTACAAATATACCACTACAGTCAAATTGGGCCTAAGATATAGCGATAGTAATCCGAGCTTCAATTATATAACAAGGTGTTCTTTAGTGAGATCTGCTTGGGGCTGCACTGTCTTGAAATTTGAAATATACTTTTAGATAATGTGAGAAATTAAGTAAAATATTAAGCACACATGTAGCTTGAAAAATATTCAGGCGTGGGCAGATCCGTATTGAACATTAACACAGCTTATAACTCGACTGTAAAAAACCCAACAGTTTTGTTTGACTAAACCATTGCCTCGTACAGATAAGGTCCTTTGATTGTAAGGATAGTGTATGCATGCTACTGAAATCGTTTACCTCTGTGTCACATACATTTTATATTCTGTGATAAAGGCCATCTGTTTTACATGTAAATTTATCCCTGAAGAGTATAAAACACACACCACTTCTGTTTAGAACAGAAACATCATGTTTTAGCTGAGTATGGTAGTGACATTGAAGTATTTTGTAGACACCCTGACATCGGGATGGTGCTCGAAGTATGTTTATTCTCCCGTAAACAGTGTTTGTAGGTTCACATTCACACAAGGACAATATGTACATTAGGGATAATGTTTGTTAAAAAACATAACTCCTCAATCCTACTTCACTATAACACAGCACTCTACACACAGTAGTAATGCTTGTTTATGAACGGAGAGGATTGGATACTGGATGTATTATCGAGCCTCAGAAATGTGAAAGGAAGTACTTCATCTAAACAATATATCATTATGTAAATTTGATACAGTAGCATTAAAGCATGTCCTTCATGAAGGTATCCCAATTCTGTACCTATAGGCATTTAATATTGATAGTATTTAACACTACATGCACTTTTGAAATCCAAGGACATCTGATATTTTTTCTGTCAACACTCCATAGTAAGGCCTTGTCCGATGATATGTTTGATCTTGTCCAGATCATGACATCAGAAACACTTGGAAATTTTTAATGTTGAATTACATTACATTATGTAAAGGATTTCATTAGTCTCTGTGGGTGGTTATATGAAATTGTATACCCAGTATATGATATATGGGGCTATAAAATGTATATATATTTTCCAGGAGGAATTTTCTACTTCATATTTCACATATTCAATACTTTCCAGGTTGATGTAGACAGACTTATTACGCGGTAGTCCCCCATCGCGAACCGGGGGGGACTATAGTTTTGCGTCATGTCTGTCCGTCCTTCCATCCTTCCGTCCTTCCTTCCATCCTTCTGCTATCTTGTCCGGGCTCTATCTCCTACACTACTTGTCACTGGAACTTCATACTTGGGGTATGGGTTCACCTTGGTGAGGCGGTGTGTTGTGTATCAAAAGTAGGTCACTCTGACCTACATTTTGATCTTTGACTTACATCAAAGTAAAACTTTGTCCAGGCTCTATCTCCTACACTACTAGTCACTGGAACTTCGTACTTGGAGTATGGGTTCATCTTGGTGAGGCGGTGTGTCGTATATCAAAGAAGGTCACTCTGTTTTTGACCTTTGATCTGCATCAAAGAAAAAGTTTGTCTGGGCTGTATCTCCTTCACTACTAGTTACTGGAACTTCTTGCTTTGGGCATGGGTTCACTTGCATTAAAGAAGAAGCATAAATAGTGTCACCAGATGCAATTTAATAGTAAAACGGTACCACTAACCAGTAAACATACACCAGATTTATTTGCAATAGTAGCACTGACACTATTCCTTATGGAATACGGTGGGTCTGTCAAACATTCATATATAGAATTAGTTTCTGCACGAATAATCATCTGTGCATTTCACATTCGGTGGGGGACTTTAATTCGCCGAATTGTCTTGTTCCTATTTATCTTACAGTACATATACATTTGGTATACTCTACTTTTGACAAGTCGACATCTAGCTGTGACCTTCTCCCCTGAGATGTGTAATTATCTATATAAACATTTTCAAATACAAGCAGGTCTACTGTAGTATCAGACTTTCAAATCGTCATTGTCATGATAAGTGTTAAGATCTTCCATTTAAATGACTCTAAACTGTGGCATGTCTGTGTGAGGTCACTGTTTGTATAATTTTGCAAGGTTAATGTCATGACATTGAAGTTTTTGTTCTATCAAAGCAAACACAGTTAATAAAAATAAAAATTGTAGACAATACTTTGACACTTTCTGGTTAGTCAATTATAAAAAAAGTACCCACGTAGCAATTTCTATGGGTATAGAGTTAAATCTGAAGTGTCAAATATTGGAGTTGGAACTAAATCAACACTTCAAGTCGTGTTGTATCTCTGAGCAAACCATTACTGGCTGTAAAAGCTAATGCTTCTGGTTGTAAAAGTCGAATCACATAAGTTGGGGTTCCTTGAGGATTGCTCAACATGATGGCCTCTTAGCTAATTACAGGCCCGTAGTACTCTACAGAAGGAGAGGTGGGAAGGTGGAGGGGTAAATGACTTAGAATGTTTGATGTCCTTGTTGGTAAGAAACTCCCACTTTATTTTAATCATATATGTACTACATACCTGGTATATATATTGCTCTTCTGTGGGCTTTCATATGCATTCATTTCTCAATGTATTACAGCGATCCCAAAATAAACTCTTAACCATCAGCTATGGTGCGATACCATGTAAAAAGCACTACTATACTTGACCTGTGAGAGCACAGTAAATAAAGGCCTAACACTGGTAGGAAGAATGGTAGAATATATACATTGTAGTATGGGGTGCTTATGATTGTTTCATCTAATGCTACCTCTGGGTTTTTTCATTTGTTATATAGTTGTTTGGAAAAGCCTATCATTGGCTTGTGTTGCCATGTTTTAACTATATAACGACTTTTACATAACATTTACTTGACTTGACTATTGAATAATCATATCTGCGAAAGTACTTTATTAAATTAACAAATATGACCCTTTCATCTATAAAATATTTTCAAAAAAACTAACATGTTACTGTATTCATCCAGCAATAAGACCATGCCTGGTGATAAGCCCATCCTACTTTTTAAAGGCATCAGATCCATATTCTGCATCCCTGCATTGAGCCGATCCCTAGCTTTTGATCCTAAATTCCATAGTGGCTTTATGGGTTTATTGCAGGGTTATTATGGTAAGCCAGCCTGATTAAGATAAGGAGAAAGCTATTTGGTGAATAGAAGCAGAAATTAATTCTATGTATTAGATTTATCAATGAATCTAAATTTATGTGATTATAACAATGAACAGACCGTAAAGTTATTATAGCAGTTTAATTCAAAGTCCCCATACAATAATTATAAACTCTACGGCTCAGTGAAGTTGTTGTATTTTCCCGATTCTCGGCTTTCAGCCAACGTCATAGGATTAAATTAAAATCTCATTATAGGTAAGGGGCCTTCATGGCCTTCCCATTAACCAACTATTGTGATATTTTCTCATAAGCTGTATTGAAAATAATAAAAGTATTTTCATTATAAACTTTACAAGTGTATGTGAATATGCCGTCGAAGTCTGTCGGAGTGCTGGGTAACAGTGTACAAAGTTTTAAAGGCTGACTGGCGACCAGAGTCAACATATGTAGCAAGTAGGTGTCTAGTACAATGTATTGATTCGTCAATTTTTACATATTGATTTGTTCTTTTGGTATAATTGTTCTGTCTATACGTAGTTAATGAACATGTATGTATGGAACAAAATATGTAAATATGAAATATTGAGTCGCTCCAGTATCCGGTGTTGTCATGTTATACCTGTGTTACGGCAGATTGTAATTCATTTAACTGATAATTGTAGTAATTATAATTAATCAACCAAGTTTTTATTGTAATGATAGCTTTCATTGGTCAAAAGGGGTGCCTTACTGGATGTTAGACACTAGACAATGCCTTGTCCCACTATTCAATGTATGTTAATTTAAGCTGTTTAACACCACACTCCTGTACTGTTACACTGAATATACCCATACAATCCCAGCGTGTTTGTATGATATGTACCATATTTATTTTAAAACATACCTATACCTTGTAGTATGGTCAACAGCTCTGACCATTACATAGCTACCTTATAAGGGGTTTGTATTTAACTCTGTAAAACATTATATAATGAGGTATAGTCATTATATTCATCATACACAAACAGCCTCATTTGCAGATCAGTCTTTCCCATTTATAGCTGTGCATGTCTGAAATCATTTTGTTTATATCTAAATTTATTGGTAGAATAGAAGGATGCGTGTTTTGTCTTTGTATTATTTTGGAATGTATATAACTCAAATAATGAAATTTGTAAATGTTTGTTCAATGATTAACTCTGGTGGAAGCTTCCTTGAAGTTAATTATTGTTAACCAACTTTTTATCATTCTTGTTAGATGTCTCCACAACACATGCCCTGTCATAGCTTTAGGTTGTTTAGTATAAGTAAACAGGTGTTTATATAATCATAATTAGTTAAAGGAAGAGTTGTAGAGGGAAGTTGGTTACATCTCAGTGACAAAGATTCAAATGTCAATGTAATTGCGCATAGAAATTGAATAGATACTTGAAAAAAATTGAACACTAATATTTTGAACTTAGGCTTTTCAAACCTAACACTTGGTCCTTGAAATGCTGTAAATAAGCCTCTCTAATTAAAATTGAAAACCTGTTTTTCAATCACATGTATATATAAACATTTCAGTATGAGATATTCTTTGGATGACTTATGCTGATATATGTTCTCGGACATTTAAAAATGGTATTCTGAATACACTGGTAATCTAATCTGTTGTACTGTGATGTCACTTATCTCTATTTCTGTCCAGTTTTTGTCGTAAACAATTTTGTAATCAACTACCTCCTGCTGTGAAATGATATAATTGCAGTACCTCTTTAAAGCAAATTTAGTTCCTTAAATTTGAATAATTACAACTTAATTTGAATATAACCAAATATAAATATCAAAATGTATGAATATATGTGTTCAGATTATAGATAACCAATAGCAATTTACACATAAGTTACTGATACCTGTATTTTAAATACCTGCCAAGCTTCCCTTATCTAAATAAACTTTAACCCACAGTAGACCACCAGTCACGACGTAGTCTATCAAGCTTCCTCACAGCTGACTGGTACATTAGGGGGAACGTTTGGATCAGTTTATTATCAAACTATTCAAACTGGAAACAGAATATGAGTGTCTAAATGAAACCGCGGGATAACATACACAAAAATATTCCTATTTCTACAAACGTTTAAATGAGTTTAAAAATTAAACTTAATTTTAAGTTACCATTAAGCTAATGAAGAAATGGAACCGAAACCTTTACTTTAAATACCTAACAGCTAATATCCTGGATTGACACCATTGGGTTTGCATACATTCCATTAACCAGTTTTATAGCTAATTTGTAAATCACTTCAGTTTATGACATTTGATTGAAATTTGTTTATTCAACCATTACAGAATTAAGCGTGATCACCTGATCATAAAAAGTATGTGAACCAAATCTTGATTTATGATACACAGTGGCGTGTTACAGTTAAGGATATGTACCCCTTTTTTCCGTATTTTTTTAACCATGGCACATGGCTCCTTACTCACTCAGTCTGCTAATTCAGTTTTGACTTTGAGCAAGGCAAGTTACAGACATAAACATCTTTGCAAAGTAGAGTATAACTACTTAATTCAAGGTCAAACCCTCAGTTGCAGAGTTATGTCCCTTGGTTTATTTTCCGTTTCATTTTGTATGGTTATTTTGTCTATTGGAAATAGTATGAAATTTTGAAGAAGAAAACATAAATTTTCCAGGAGGAAAAAGGCCAAAAACTGTCCCAAAATAAACAAAAAATTAATCAGTTTGAAGTCAGATCAAAGATATTTTATGATTTCTTTTGCTTCAGGAAATCCAAAACTTTGACATGTGGTAAGGTGAGCAGACAAAAAGATGTGTATTCTTACTCCTCCTCCTCACGGAGGCAGGTTAAATCTAGTAGGAACAGAACGGTGAAAAAGAGGTCTGACTGCCCGACTGAAGAGAATGGAGCCATGCCTGATATCTGTTTGTCTCCAAGCAACGCACAACTTCAGAAAATGATGAAGAAACGACTGTCCTTGGCACCTGTTGCTAAGGAGTTTGTGGACTTCATACATGCTGGGGACCACAAAAATGTGAAACGCATGATAAAGGAACGCGTTGTTGATGTAAACTTACGGGACACAGAGGATCCTGTCCTGCCGACACCTCTTCTTATCGCTGCAGAAATGAATGATGAGGAGATGGTACGGCTGATGCTGAGGGCCAAACCCAAACCAGCTAACATCAATGATGAGACTACTAAGGGCAAAAGGGCAATATGGTAAGTTGTTGGGATAAAAATAGAAATTAAAAACTAAAACATTCATTTTACAGCCAAGCATTATAGGAAGGCTTCATCGTTTGATAGAAATATGAAAAACATATCCAGAGGGAAAAGTGTAACTTATATAAATAACAAATTGCATTGACTTGTATATCATGGTTAGTGTGTGCATGTTGCTAATATTTTGGACTTGGACAAGACCTTATAGTAAAGGTCAAATAGCACAAACAGACATAAATAATTGCGACAACAGGATTTCATTGAGTTCCAAACTAAAGTATAGTCATCTAAATAGTTTATAAAAAGTGTAAAAACTGCAGGGGTCATGCTGTCAATTGCCAATGTAGCTACTGATTCTCTTTGACTTCTTAAATTTTCATCTGGCTTCAAAATGACATCTCATAATACTTTGGGTGCTATCATACACATGTGATTAATGGCCTTTACTAGAAGTATAAAGAAGAGATACTAATAGTACATACTGAGCTCTGACTAGTTGCTGGCAGAAAATGGTATAAGATAAATCATTATCTATTTCCCTTGATTTCCTTTGGAAAAAGAAGATGGCCAATTGCTTGGAAATACTGTTGGTTTGAAAAATAATGTGTGCAATGTATCAAGTAATAAAGTAACAAACACATTTGTTTGTGTAGGATAGCAGCCAAGCATGGAAATGTAGAGATGGTAGAATATCTACTTAATGGGAAATCACCATGTGAGGTCAACATAGTGGACAAGGAGTCAGGTAGGTACTGAACTGTGTGTTCCTGATTTAACTGTGGCCAAATGCTTGAGAATTCTGCTATCGTTTTTTATAACCTTCCCTTAAATTTGTTTGGATATAGCTGTATCTACCATTGACCTGGAAGCTCATTTGGTTAGAATGGCAATATAATGATTGCAGGTCCCAGTGTAGCATGGTATTTACTCCAACAGTGTTAGAGGTTTTACACAGCGAGATACTTTTGACAGGCGCCGCACAGTCAGCAAAAATATAGGAAAAAGACCGACCAGCGGCCTCTTATGTTATAGGGAGTACATGGTATTGTGAAGAATGGTGAAATGAACTAGGGTCAAAATACCATAATGGTAATTATAAACCGTGGTTCATTTCACGATTATGGACATATGCTCTTTGCTCCTTGCTCATGGTGGAATGAAGGCTTCCATCGACTTATTCTCTGACCAACTTTTGCGTTAATTTTCTTATGTCATATGTTGTTCTGTTGTTAATTGTACTCCATTCTCCTCTTTTTAAGGCTTTGATCCACATGAAGGCTACAGTGCCCTATCATTGAGGGTGAGAGAGTTATAGTTCTGGATCTATGATATGTTGTTTTTACACCTAATCATTCCTTGTTTTTAGTGCCATTTTCAAGGAGACTATAAAGGTCAACTGTCTATATTTATACACTATTGTTTATCTATACCCCTATGTAGGTCAACTGTCTATATTTATACACTATTGTTTGTCTATACCCCTAGGTTGTTCCCCGTTGTTCCGAGCTATTCTCACAGAGTCTGCGGAGGCCTGTCAGCTACTGATAAAAGCCGGAGCAGATGTCAACCTTCGTAGACTGTCATTAGAGAACAGCAACGAGACCCCACTCATCAAGTGAGACATTTATAACCTTTAAAAGGCTATAATGTAAAGTAATGAAATTTTGCTGTACATCTGTACATCTAGTGTAGTGAATATACTGGTACAAGTTTTTTGAAATTCATTTTACATGTTAATTAGATCAAGAAAAATATTTCATACTGATTAAACCAGTATAGTAAATGTAAAAATCTTTATTTCTTAAATCATGTCTGCTCTGAGGTGCAAATTTTGGACTTTCCTTTACCCCTTTACAATTGTTAAACTATTTTACAAATGATAGCAGATAGAAAAGATACTTTATTGTATAGAGATATAAGTGATTACTGGGTAGATATAAAGATTGGAAAGACAACTATGTGTAAGTCTATGATATGTGATAGAACAGTAGTTGAAATGTAATCTTTGTTTGGTATTCCAGAGCCATCCAGATGGACAATAGAGACATCTGTCAGATACTGGTCAACTCTCTGTGTAAGCTTCAGACAAAAACTGACGCTGGTCTGAATGCTTTGCATTTTGCTGTGGCATACTGTCGATATGACATTGTGGAGCTACTCATGGAAAATGGAGTCAAGATCCACGCTAAAAGTAATGCTGGCATTACTGCCATGTCCGTCGCTATAGAAAACCATAATGCTGCCATGGTGAAAATTTTACTGAAAAAAGGTTATAAAGTGGACAAGAAATACAAATGGAAGGAAACGCCCCTACAACAAGCTATCAAACTACACGCTACAGAAAGTGCTCTAACTTTGATGCATCATGGCTGTACAGTCAAAAAAGACAAAGGATCGTCTTATATGCACATGGCTGTTGAAGAAAAACTTATACGGATTATTAAATTTTTAATAGCGCTTAATCCTTTGTTTTTGAATGAGGAATGGCTGCAAAAACAGATGTGGCCGGTGTCACTCTATCGACGGCCAGATATATTCAATTGGCTTCAGAAAGAGGCCGCAACTCCTCGGACTTTAAAACAATTGTGTCGAGCAAGAATATTTAAATTACTTGGAACTTACGCTCCAGCCAAGGCAAAAGAACTACCTCTACCTGAAACTCTCAGAGAGTATTTACAGTACAATGAATTTGTGAAGGATGAATATTACAAACAAAAGCCCTTGAATTCCAAAGAGTGTCCGTTTGACTGTCCCGCGAAGTGTTCATACAGACATTGTCCACCAATAGAAGTCTCAGCATCTGAATCCGAGTCTGAATCAGACTCGGATGTAGAAATAGATTCATCATAGCCAACAAATGTCATACAAAGAAACAACTTATTTATTTTATAACTTATTTTTATTTATATTTATATTTTTTCACATAAAGACTTTTCCAACCATAACATTTGTCCAGCAGAGGGTACCCTGTATTTCACTTATCAATACTTGTATTTTTACAAATAAGGCTTTAAGTCTAATTTATTTATCTTATAGGTAGCGTAATTGCTTGTTCAGTTTATTTAAGTCATCTTCAAAGTCCAACAGTTTTTGTTCTCTATGTCATATCTACTCTGCACCCTTGAGTTTTCTAGAATCAAAGTTAAAGTATTTGTCACCTTGCAGATAAATCACGTTGACAGGTCTGTAAACTGTTGCACAGTCTGTATACCTGTGATCTAAAGCACAGCCTGTATACCTGTGATCTAAAGTAATGTTTGTATCAAATATGAAAATGGATTGTGTAACAGCATAACAGTGTAATTTACCGCTTGTGATGAAAGTAATGTTTCTATCAAAGATAAGAATGGAATGTGTGACTGTGTAACAGTGTTTTTTACCAGCTGTGACCTCAGAGCAATTCTCTGTTACTCTACAAGGTGCAGGTATCACCTGTCTCATCCTAAGAGTTGTGATATTTTTTGTTTCTGATGACCATCAGCCTTTGATTATTTCATGATGAAATCTACGGGTGCAGAGACGATATTTATATCGGGAGTGTAAACGTTGGATTTTGAACATTTGTACTATCAAGTTTTAATATCACTGGAAATTTAAATATTTGATAATCTTTGAGCAGTCGGTGACAGTTTGAAATTTTCAAGAACTTTTACTATCTCTATGTTTTGTCAACCAGATTTTGAGAAATTACATGTTTTGGTATGTAATGGCTAAACCTATTTGAAGTTGAAGTCTGTTACACTTGTACAATGTATATCTACAATAGATGACAGGGTATGTTGATTCAACAGTCTTATCATCTCATCTCAGGTAGTAGACGTAGGTCATTTGTGAAAAAAATATTGTGTTTTACAATTGTTTTGAGTATTTTGTGTAGATCTTGTAGGAGTGAAACAGTGTTTTAAAGTTTCATTTTGTGATAAAGTTATGTGTTTGATAGAGGTATACATGTGTAAACGTGTTGAAGTAACTACAAATGTAAGTGGCATAATAGATGGTAGCTTATAAGCCAAACTATTTTTTGTGATTGTTAATGTTTAGCATAACTTAACACCCTTTTTCGTAATTTTATATTGTATACAGTATTTGCTGTAGATATTACTCTTATTTTGATGCCACTTTACATGTGTTTCAAAGAAGTCTGACAGGATTACCTCCCTTTGAAGTAGTTTCCACTACCATACAGAATGTTCCAAGTCTCAAAAATAAGGCTGATATCTTTTATGAAAAATGTATTTGTTAGTAAGATAACATGTAATATAATAGTATGTACATGTAACATGCAGGCATCTAGTAGAACATTTTCAATGTATTTTGTAATATAAATTCATTAAAAACAGCTGAAATTTGGTTTATAGTTCTAAATGTTGTTATCAAAGATTGCTTGGGTGTTATGTGCGAAGTATACATTTTACAGTATCTGTTTTTCCTAAAAACTTGAGTAGATGATTGACCTGTTCATTATTAGTTATTGGTAGGGTATACGTATTGCTGGCAATACTGTAGTTTGTTTTGTATACAACATTATGTCACATTGTCTCAGCAGTGAGTGAGATATCATTATTGTGTAACACAAGTCCAGGGCCCAGTTGATCAAAGAATGATTAGCTATATAATACTTAATAATAACCTGAAGCAAAATTTAAAACTAGCATACTTTCAAAATATTGAAATTCAAAACATAAATTGTACGTTTAAGGATCAATTTTATAATGATTTTCTAATGCTAAGAAGCAAAAAAAAGTTCGTAATTTCTTTTTAGATATACTGTTTTTCTTAGAAATCAAATTTTAAAAATGTGTGGTAATGACTTGTTAAGCTAATTATTCTGTGAACGACCAGGCCCAGTTCGTTTTTCATTATGTTATACTATTTTGTATGTTTCACTTTTAAGAAAACATGGCAAATAAAAAAATACAACCACAACAAAGTAACAGTTGATGATCATGGTTTCCATTAAAACCATATCCAGGTAGTATCTTACTTATCTAAAACATTAATCTATAGAACACCTGACTATGGTAAAGGGTACCAACAAGTAAAACTATATTGCACTGTAATATCACTATCAATATTGTGAAATACCTGTTAAAAGTCCTTTTCAAAAGAACTATTCTATAAAACTCACATGCTAGGGTGCATTTTACTGAATTAAAGTTATTCGAAATTTGAATTTTTCAAAATGCAAAAAGAAGATTTTTAGCTCACCTGGCACAAAGTGCCAAGTGAGCTTATGCCGTGGCGCGGCGTCCGGCGTCAATATTTTACTTTAAACGACTTCTTCTTAATAACCAAAAGGCCCAGGGTGTCGATATTTGGCCAGAAGCAAACTGAGATGAAGGGCTACAAAGTTTGTTAAAACTAATGACCTTTACCCATTTTCAAGGTCACAGGGGTCAGATATGTTAAAAACTTTAAACATCTTCTTCTCGATAACCAAACTTCCCAGGGAGATGATATTTGGCCATTAGCATGCTTGGGGGAAGGGCTACAAAGTTTGTTCAAATGAATGACCTTCAATTATATTCAAGCTCACAGGGGTCAATTGTCTTAAAAAAACCTTTACACAACTTCTTCTGAATAACCAAAATGCACAGGGAGATGATATTTGGCCATTAGCATGCTTGGGGGAAGGGCTACAAAGTTTGTTCAAATGAATGACCTTCAATTATATTCAAGCTCACAGGGGTCAATTGTCTTAAAAAAACCTTTAAACAATTTCTTCTGAATAACCAAAATGCACAGGGGGATGATATTTGGCCAGTAGGATGCTGGGGTAAAGGGCTATCAAGTTTGTTTTGAATGACCTTAACCTATATTCAAGGTCACAGGGGTCAAATATGTTAAAAACATTAAACAACTTCTGATGAATAACCAAAATGCACAGGGAGATGATATTTGGCCAGTTGCATGCTTGGGGGAAGGGCTACAAAGTTTGTTAAAACTAATGACCTTTACCCATTTTCAAGGTCACAGGGGTCAAATTTGTTTAAAATCTTTAAACGACCTCTTCTGAATAACCATGGGTCCCAGGATGTTGATACTTTGCAAGTTGCATACTGAGATGAAAGGCTATACAATTTGTTCAACATAATGACTTTGTTCGACATTCAAAGTAACAGGGGTGAAATGATTTAAAATCTTTAAACAGGCTCTTTTGAATGATTTTAATCATAAATACTGATATTTTGCCTGTAGCGTTATTTTAGATCACTTTTAAGGTTGCAAGTGTGAGATTTATACCAGGTGAGCGATGCAGGCCCATTGGGCCTCTTGTTTTTATAAGGAAAACTGCAAGTGTTGAACTCAAGACCTTCTACATTTCAGTCTTCTCTTTACCAATGTTGCAATCCAGGAATTTTAGAATAAGTTCCCTATTTATGGGCAGCAATGTCTATCAAAACCTGACAGTGGAAGTTTCTCTAAGCCAAAAAAACTTCTTTTTAATTGCTTCCTACAGAAGAGACAATATTCCATGTAAAAAGAATTATTGAGTGGAATTTGTCTTCGCGATTATAACTGATGCAGTATTACCCTTTAACTTAAGGACTTCAGACTGTAAATTTACTAAAGGTTGCTTATTTGTCATGATGGTCATCAGAAAGGCCATTTTTCGTCTTCATCATCTCCAGATATTGCCAATGTTACCATACAAGGAATCATAACAGAAACTTATTAAAAGTTGTTTGTTTTATTCCTCAAGACCATATTGATACTGTTGGCAGTCAAATACAAGTTTGATTATATTCCTTTCATTACTTTGAGAGAAATTGATGCTTTAGATAAATTTAAATAGATTGACCTTTTATCTATGATCTTGATTTCCGGCCAAAAGAACTTTTAGCTGTATTCCAGATGTCTTGGGAACAGCTATATTAAGCTTGACGATATTCAGTAACTCTGAGAAAGATTTATCCTAAACTATTTAATCAACTTTGACCAACTGACTGTAAAATTAGACATTGGTCTTCACAAACCTGATAATTTTCGGTGTTTTTTTTAGCTGGCCTGGTCCATCGTCCCTCTGTCAACTTTTCTTTTTAAAATGCTACTAACCCTGATTAACTTGCTGGATTTTGACTCAAGTCTTGGAGTATCCTTCGGAAAAGGGGATTCGATTTTGTTTTAACAAAAAGTGAAAATTAGGTAAATCTTTAAAATCATTCTCCTTCTGTGCAAATGGAGGGATCTAAACCAAATTTTGTCAGAACAACCTTCCACAACTTTTTGTAGATGGTGGGTGTGATTCTGGGGCAAAAGGGCATGACCCAATAAGGTAAATCTTAAAATTCTTTTTGCTCCTTATAGAAGAAGGGATCTTAACCAAATTGGATATAGAGTACTCTGGGCCAAATAGGCTTTAATGTTGAATAAACCATGGATAACCTCCCCGTAATGGGGATAGTGGGTTGACACAAAATAAGGTAAGGGTGTTTCTGAGAGAGCCATAATTTGTATGAGAATATTTAGCCATGATTGCTTAAAAATCTAGGCGAGCGATACAGGCCCTGTAGACCTCGTGTTTAGAAAAAAAGACTGAACTCATGACATTTAAGACAACTGCACTCTATCGATTTAGTGTTAGGGAGTCAATAACTCATTAACGAATTACATGTCTACTTTAACAGTATGTTTTCTGTCGGCAGTGTCAGAATTGACAGAATAGACAGCAGAAGGCTGTTATGATTTTCTCTGATCAAAGCTACAAGTGAATTGATTGATTTCAAATTAAATCTTTTCATTATTTTGTCTTATTAGTGGGTGAACAAATTGCAGACTACTTAGTTATCTGAGCTATCTTACCTTTGCTGGGTACAAATTGATTGTCTGGAGTTTGGGCGCAGATACATTGGTAAAGTTCCTAAAGTCGAGAACACTGAAGAAAACCCCCGATTCTGTAAAAGTAGGGTCATTATCGTAGACTTGCCACTCACGTAAGGAACACAAGTAGTGTTGTGAAACTCACGTAAGGAGCATAAGTAGTGTTGTGAAACTCACTTGCAGGTAACAAAGATGTAAAGGTGAAAAGCTACCACTGGACCTATTCTTATCGTTGTTTATTGGTCCTTACGTCACTTAAAATCATTAAGATTAAACGGAGCTACAAAGTTAACTGACCGGTAGTTATGTCAAGAGACATACAAATAGTGTTTCTGCAGGGACCCCACATAAGTTGCCACATGCGATCATGCAGTGGTATAAAGCATTTACAGGTAATATAGGCACATAATATGATTTGAAGCCATCGCTGCTCTCTGAAGACAAAACACCTAAACAATTTGCAATAAATAACATATTTTTATTCAATAATCAAAACAACAACAATAATGACATACTTCACAGAAAATTTATATTTTTGATATGGTTTCAATAAGGCTCTGATTGCTTTAAGATTCTTATAAAAATTTCGGCGGGTTTTGCGACTTATTCATCTTCTTGTGTTTCACGTTAGAGACGGTCAGCACTCTACTGGAAGAAGAAGAGGTCCACATGTATAAACTATACACGAAGTTTCAACTACACACTATAATGAGACATGTACATTTTCCAATAAATTCCTTTTGAACGTTACAGTTGTTGAATCAGCGTGAGGCCAACATGTCCTTTGTTGAACCAGAAGACCGTACATCTGTCTGAAGGGATGAACAGGTAACAGTTTGGGCAAAGAGAACAACAAAACATGATGCTCGAATACCCTATTGAACGGTTTAAAGTTTGTATGAGCTTGACTGACGTTTAGAGTAGCCTACAAAGTGAGCCTTGACTGACATCTGCGGTAAGAGACAAAATGACTGACTTTCGTTTACATTATACAAAGTGAGCCTTGACTGACATCTGCGGTAAGAGACAAAATGACTGACTTTCGTTTACATTATACAAAGTGAGCCTTGACTGACATCTGCGGTAAGAGACAAAATGACTGACTTTCGTTTACATTATACAAAGTGAGCCTTGACTGACATCTGCGGTAAGAGACAAAATGACTGACTTTCGTTTACATTATACAAAGTGAGCCTTGACTGACATCTGCGGTAAGAGACAAAATGACTGACTTTCGTTTACATTATACAAAGTGAGCCTTGACTGACATCTGCGGTAAGAGACAAAATGACTGACTTTCGTTTACATTATACAAAGTGAGCCTTGACTGACATCTGCGGTAAGAGACAAAATGACTGACTTTCGTTTACATTATACAAAGTGAGCCTTGACTGACATCTGCGGTAAGAGACAAAATGACTGACTTTCGTTTACATTATACAAAGTGAGCGTTGACGTTTGGAGTACAAGGACAATATAGATTTTAGTGATGTTCTATTAGATCGCCTATATCTCCAGTCATGGTAAGATTTGAATGTCGGACATATTCAGCTTTGACTAACGTTTATTAGCTCACCTGCCCGAAGGGCAAGTGTGCTTATGTCATGGTGCGGCGTCCGTCGTCCGTCCGTCCGTCTGTCGTCCTCGTCCGTCAACTTTTCCTTTAAACAACTTCTTCTGAACAACGGACAGGCCTAGAGTCATGATATTTGACTGAAAGCTTTGTTGATAGGAGCCCGACAAAGTTTGAGAACGAAAATGACCTTGACCTACTTTCAAGGTCACAGGGGTCAAATATGTGAAACACTTCAAACGACTTCCTCAGAAGAACTAAAAGGTATAGAATCCTCATATTTTGCTGATAGATTCCTGGGATGAAGGCCAACAAAGTTTGAGAATGAAAATGACCTTGACCTTCTTTCAAGGTCACAGGGGTAATATGTGTCAAACAATTCAAACGACTTCTTTTGAAGAACTAAAAGGTATATAATCTTTATATTTGGCTGGTGGCTTCCTTGGATAGACCCCAACAAACTTTGAAAATGAAAATTAGTTTGACCTATTTTCAAGGTCACAGGGTTCAAATATGTCAAATGCTGCAAACGACCTCTTCTGAAGAACTAAACGGTATAGCATCTTTATATTTGATTGATGGCTTCATGGGATATCGCGGCAATTTTGAGGATGAAAATGACCTTGACCTTCTTTCAAGGTCACAGGGGTCAAATGTGTCAAACACTTCAAACGACTTCCCCTGAAGAACTGAAAGGTATATAATCTTTATATTTGGCTGGTGGCTTCCTGGGATAGAGCTCGACAAAGTTTGAAAACGAAAATGACCTTGACCTTCTTCAAGGTCAAAGGAGTCAGATATAACAAATGATTAAAACGACTTCTTCTGAAGAACTAAAAGTTATAGAACCTAAATATTTGGCTTGTAGCTTTCTGGGAAAGAGCCCAACAAAGTTTGAGAATGAAAATGACCTTGACCTACTTTTAAGGTCACATGTGGCAGATCTGTCAAACACTTAAAACGACTTCTTCTGAAGAACTGGAAGGTATAGAACCTTAATATTTGGCTGGTGACTTCCTGGGAAGGAGCCCAACACAGTTTGCGAATGAAACTGACCTTGACTTACTTTCAAGGTCACAGGAGTCAGATATGTCTAACGCTTAGAACAACTTCTTCTGAAGAAACGGACGGTATAGAACCTTAATATTTGGCTGGTTATTTCCTGGGAAAGAGCCAAACAAAGTTTGCGAATGAAAATGACCTTGGCTAACTTTCAAGGTCACAGCGTTCAAATATGTCAAACGGTTCAAACTACTTTTTCTGAAGAATTGAGATTCATAAAATTATAATATTTGGCTGGTGACTTCCTGGGATAGAGCTCACCAAAGTTTGCGAATGAAAATGACATCAACCTACTTTAGAGGTCACATGGGTCAACAACATTTTAAAGGATTTGTTTCAAGAACTAAAAGGAATGGATTCATAAGATTTGGCTGGTAGCATGTTGGAATAAAGCTAACCAATTTGAGAAGAAAAATGACATTGACCTACTTACAAGGTCACAGGGGAAAATATGTCAAGCAACTTCTGAAGAAGAATCAAAAAGCATAAAATCTTATAATAATATTTTGCTGGTAGTTTCAACAGATGGAGCCAACAAAGTTTGCGAGGGAAATATTCAGGTGAGCGATACAAGCCCTCTTGGGCCTCTTGTAATATCGGGCAACACTGCTTTGATGCTTATAGTATCGGACAAAGTGTGCTTTTATGTTTATATTGCTGAAAAGAGTGAGCGTTTAATGATAATGATATGATAAGTATCAAGCAAAGTGAATTTTTACAGACATGAATATTTCCGGCAAATAACGATTTAATTGATGTTGTACAACATGAGACAAAATGAGCTTTGTACATGTAGGTCGCATTTAGTTCCATCTAGATCGGATTTGAAGGTCGTGTATTAAAAATGTATTCACAGCGAGCTTTGATTGCTTTTATTAGACACAGTGAGCTTTACCAGTTTATAGTATGAGACAGTGAGGTTTGACTTATCCATATAATAAGGTAAAGTGAACTTTAATGGTGTCCTTTTGAGTAAGACACAACGTGCTTAGACTTTGTTTCATGCACTGTAAATTAAAGTTTGACTTTTAATTATAATCAGACACAACGAGCTCTATAGTATAAGGCACAGTGAACTTTTCACCTCCCCCTTCATATTTTCTCTCTTTTCTTTTGTGATCATTGCTGAAGGTGATGCATTTTCCTGATGACTATTCGTGAAGGGTATTCTGTCGGTAACTTTGTCGTGTTGCAGGTTGGTGGTATCGGTAGTGTCCGAGACACCTATATCCCGTACAGTGCTGTCGTCTGGTATCTGGAGCGACATAGCATTGGTGGATTTGCCATTGATGAAATACGTGTTCATTAAACCTTTGCCTTTGATTTCAACCTCTCCTCTTGGCTCCAGGTCATATTCCGTACCGATTAGTTTTCTAAAATAATTATACACTAATATTAATCAGAAACCACAAGGAATAACTGTCCGTAGCATGAATCTGATTATGCACATTTGGATTAGAAGAGTGTTAAGCTATTGTCCCCAATGTAGTTTGGTAGTAAACTCGTTATCTCCTGTTTTAACCTGTATATATCCACATATATAAAGCTTCAATAGAATATAATTTAAAATTCAAAAAATATTTTAACAAGGGGGCAGTATTTGTTTCCCTCAAGTATTTTTTGCTGGAACATATTTTTACTAATTTCTTTCAATAAGATGTAGACCTAAATTTATTATATATATCTAACATGGATCTACATCATTACAGGGATTTAGATGATCGTATATCAGATAGGAAGTCCGTTTATCCCTCACAAAATATTGTCCTTCGTGACATGCAGAGTAAACTATACCTACTATTGGGTAACGTTAACATTATTCCCTTGTGGGTTTGTGAAAAATCTGATATGGAGGGATTGGACATGTTTTTCTGTCTCCTGGATGAGAATCATAACGTAATTCATTTTAGATTCAATTAACTACTGATGAGGAGTGATACAAATATTTATCTTCGTTATCGATATCATTTATGCGACTCCTTTTTTAGTGTGTAAAATTGATGGATCGTAGGAAAACTGTTAATGCGTATTATGGCGATACCTTTATTGCAGGAATTTGAAAGAGATGATGGGGAGAGATAAGGAACGTTGATCCGTCTTTTGTAAACAGTATCATAATTCCGTACTTGTATGTAGGTTTTGAGTGAGAACAACGATAAAGCCTCAACAAGTATGTGAAATAGTAGATGTAAGCTATGGAGAACGGTTTTTACGTTTCATAGAAAATATAACACGGTACTGCGTATTATAAACTGGTTTGGAATGGGTAATGATTGCTTCCCCTGTTTGTGACATCTTTTGTGAGATCTCGTTTGAGCACTCAGTAAGCACCTTGCTCGAAATATACATTCATTCTATATTAATATCAGGGACAATGGTAAACGTGTATTCCGCTTTATAAGTGATAACTGATTTGGAATTAGGCAATGCTTTGCCCTTACGGGTGTTCAGAATATCTTATATTCATCTGTATTCCTCTTCAATCAAAAACTTTAATATGTTGTCGTTTTGTGTTATGAAGGGGGGCAAAACTCCCAGAAATGTGCTTTCACTGTTACTGATATCTAAAAACATATCAACAGTACAACACTGTATCATGGAACGTTAAAGGACTGTATACTAACTGGTATGTGGAACAGCTGACATGAACCCGGCCTGGTACTCCGTGACTTTCCATGCGTGATGCGGTGTTGACGGTGTCCCCGAACAGACAGTAACGCGGCATTCTTGTACCCACCACTCCTGACACCACTGGCCCCGTGTGGATCCCCACTCGTATCTATGGTAACAACAAAGTGATACAGACATAATGTAAGCATGCTTTACACATGAATACCAATCCGATCCATCGTAAGATATAATATGATAAACTAAAACCTGATTTCGTTTTCGCCCTTTATTGTATAATACTTATTGTTCATCTTCGTTATAGTCACCTTTGGTGTCATTCAGCGAAATTATTCTTTGATAAAGTCCAACTTGGCTTTCATTCAGTGTCAATCAATTTCGTTGAAAACGTACCGGGGAAAGACTAGACCTGCTGTAGCTCGCTACATGATCTAACGTGGAGACTTTAAAGTGGCTTCTCTACATAATCGGGGGCTTCCTACCTATACTTTCTTTCCGATTGTAACCTCATTGCAGAACAAATAATATGACCGGATGAAGTGTCAGATTACTACATACAAATTATCCTTTTATTTCATCTTGTTTACTTGAAACATTTCATAAAGCAATAGCGGAGAGTTTTGAGCTCCATTGAGTCTAAAATAAGACCAAATTTGGCTTCCAAGTTAATTCACGCTTTACATAAAACTGATGTAATTTTTAAATGAGATTAACCAAATGAATCATGATCATGTGTGACAAACAAAATAACAACATGAATTTTATTTCAACGGAAATCAACATTAATGTCAAATAAGAGCATTTAAGGAATTGACTATATAAATCACCAAGGAGTTAGGATTTAAAGTATTGCTTTGTGAATGTCTCGGGTAAAAATAAATGCATGCATTAAAATGTACATATATTAAGATGACTTGTTTATTGTTTAATTATATAAATTCCTACCTGGATTGGACTGCCCGTGACAGGGGAAATAACACGCTCCGTTTCCGCTACCATTCCTAACCCCATGGTGGCAATCCTCTGCGCGTGATCAGCGATAGATTCCGGAACTCCCGACACAACCATATATGCATCACCAATTGTTTCAACCTGATCGTCATTGATGAACATTAATATTAGTTACATAACATGGATTTGTTTTTAAACAGTCGAAAGAGAGAAGTGTTTCAATTTTGATAAAAAAGGGATATCATTTAAACTAAAAAGTGACAAACTTAATCTATTCGATGGTTCGGTTCATCGTAAAATAATACGAAAACAAGAAAATATCCTCTTGGCAGTATATTGTACTCCCGACCTCTACATTTTATTTGATAATAAGTCAATACTTATTCATCAACCTGTTATTTTCCAAAATGATATTATATTGGAAGAAATTCATTAACAACAGTAATCTTTAGTTGATTGGAGCTTACCTTATATACGTCATATTCCGTTGACAAATTGTCAAATCTCATGAAAAGTTCATTTAACAGGTCGACGATTTGAATAGGTTCGCATTTGGCCGCCATGTTGGTGAACGTCACAATGTCGCTGAATAGAATGGTAACACATTCATGCTTCTCTAGTGATAAAAAAGATAAGGCATAGAGTGGTCAATTTCAGTAAAAATACTACTTCATTGCGAAAAGACCACTCGCAAAAAAATAACAGGTATTGTGAGACAAATGTTAATTAATAAATATGCTATAAGATCTTGCTACAAACAAACACAAATTACGGTTCATTAAGCGGAATTAAAATTGAAAGTAGCTTTCTATCGCTTTCAACACTATGTAATGATCACGACCGACATAAACCAAAGATACCAATAAAATTCAATTTCAACACCATTTTGAATTGTTCAAGGTTCTTATAGAATGCTTACTATTCGATCCCATATTTTGCTACTTATTTAGTTACTAAGTAATCGCATCATATAAATGCTAAGTAATCGCATCATATAAAACAGGAAGACTGACTTATACACCCTTCATCCCACTATTGAAAGGAAAGCTACGGACACAAACAGGTATTTTGAAGCAAATATGTGTTGCTTTAGAAAAGACAAATGTTGCAAAATGACAAAAGACAACAAAAAAACAAAAGCGTAACGATTTCTTTTCAACAGTTAATATTAGGATAACAATGAAGGTTAAAGAATCAAACTCGATATGTGTTCCCAGAGTCGTAACGTCTTGAACTATTTTCAGTATGGAAGTTGCAGGGTCAACGTTATTCCAGAAACTATAACGTTGACCCTGCAACTTCCATTGCTACTTCCATTTGCTAGCAGAACTTGGCACGGCAATCACCTTTCCTCAGAGACACGAGGTATATTCTATACTATGCTCATGCTTTTTTAAGAGAGAAAAAATGATACTTTCCTCGAGTGTTGGATATTCTATTCTGAGTGGTATTTAACTTTACATACGATTTCCTATAATACACTATTGAGATAACCTATTGATGGTTATGGTTTTAAGTCACATGGAACCTGATGTTTTACAACGACAATCGAGCCTTACCCGCGGAAACCGTTTGCCCATCCCGCAACTGGTCTGCCACCTTGACTGGTAACATATCGTACAAGAGGGTATCAGTCTTTTTCTTTTCCTCCTCTAGAGCATTGGCTAGCTTTTTCATGCTGGCAGTCGTCTCGTCTAGCTTCTTACTGTTAGCATGCAATATGATAGAGTGTATACATGAAAAATTGGGCCAAATGCATTACAAGGAAACCCCTATTTCTGGGTATTCAAATACATTTCTTACAAGGCAATACTAACTTTTATTAAGTCTGTACGAAAACAAATCAATTTCATCAGTAACGTAGTTGCAGTATTAACGACGCTGGTTAGTGAGACAATGATATTAGTGGTGGCAGTATTAACGACACTGGGTAGTGAGACAATCATATTAGTGGTGGCAGTGTTAACGACACTGGGTAGAGAGACAATCGTATTAGTGGTGGCAGTGTTAACGAAGCTGGGTAGTGAGACAATCATATTAGTGGGGGCAGTGTTAACGACGCTGGGTAGGGAGACAATCGTATTAGTGGTGGCAGTGTTAACGACGCTGGTTAGCGAGACAATCGTATTAGTGGTGGCAGTGTTAATGACACTGGGGAGAGAGACAATCGTATTAGTGGTGGCAGTGTTAACGACACTGGGTAGAGAGACAATCATATTAGTGGTGGCAGTGTTAACGGCACTGGGTAGAGAGACAATCATATTAGTGGTGGCAGTGTTATAACGGCACTGGGTAGTGAGACAATTATATTAGTGGTGGCAGTGTTAACGACGCTGGTTAGCGAGACAATCGTATTAGTGGTGGCAGTGTTAACGACGCTGGGTAGCGAGACAATCATATTAGTGGTGGCAGTGTTAACTACGCTGGTTAGTGAGACAATCGTATTAGTCGTGGCAGTGTTAACGACGCTGGTTAGTGAGACAATCGTATTAGTCGTGGCAGTGTTAACGACGCTGGTTAGTGAGACAATCGTATTAGTCGTGGCAGTGTTAACGACGCTGGTTAGTGAGACAATCGTATTAGTCGTGGCAGTGTTAACGACGCTGGTTAGTGAGACAATCATATTAGTGGTGGCAGTGTTAACTACGCTGGTTAGTGAGACAATCGTATTAGTCGTGGCAGTGTTAACGACGCTGGTTAGTGAGACAATGATATTAGTGGTGGCAGTGTTATAACGGCACTGGGTAGTGAGACAATTATATTAGTGGTGGCAGTGTTAACGACGCTGGGGAGTGAGACAATCGTATTAGTGGTGGCAGTGTTTACGACGCTGGGTAGTGAGACAATCATATTAGTGGGGGCAGTGTTAACGACGCTGGGTAGGGAGACAATCGTATTAGTGGTGGCAGTGTTAACGACGCTGGTTAGCGAGACAATCGTATTAGTGGTGGCAGTGTTAACGAAGCTGGGTAGTGAGACAATCATATTAGTGGGGGCAGTGTTAACGACGCTGGGTAGGGAGACAATCATATTAGTGGTGGCAGTGTTAAAGACGCTGGGTAGTGAGACAATAATATTAGTGGTGGCAGTGTTAACGGCACTGGGTAGTGAGACAATCATATTAGTGATGGCAGTGTTAACGACGCTGGGTAGTGAGACAATCCTATTAGTGGTGGCAGTGTTAACGACGCAGGGTAGTGAGACAATGGTATTAGTGGTGGCAGTGTTAACGACGCAGGGTAGTGAGACAATGATATTAGTGGTGGCAGGGTTAACGACGCTGGGTAGTGAGACAATGATATTAGTGGTGACAGTGTTAACGACGCTGGGTAGTGAGACACTCATATTAGTGGTGGCAGTGTTAACGACGCTGGTTAGTGAGACAATCGTATTAGTCGTGGCAGTGTTAACGACGCTGGTTAGTGAGACAATCGTATTAGTCGTGGCAGTGTTAACGACGCTGGTTAGTGAGACAATGATATTAGTGGTGGCAGTATTAACGACGCTGGGTAGTGAGACAATGATATTAGTGGTGGCAGGGTTAACGACGCTGGGTAGTGAGACAATCGTATTAGTGGTGGCAGTGTTAATGACACTGGGTAGAGAGACAATCGTATTAGTGGTGGCAGTGTTAACGACACTGGGTAGTGAGACAATCATATTAGTGATGGCAGTGTTAACGACGCTGGGTAGTGAGACAATCATATTAGTGGTGGCAGTGTTAACGACACTGGGTAGTGAGATAATCATATTAGTGATGGCAGTGTTAACGACGCTGGGTAGTGAGACAATCATATTAGGGGTGGCAGTGTTAACGACGCTGGTTAGTGAGACAATCATATTAGTGGTGGCAGTATTAACGAAGCTGGGTAATGACACCACCAGATTCATTGCAGATTGATTAACGAAGGTGGATAGGGGATTAACAAAACGCGATTTAGAAGTAAAACATAGATACCACAGCTAAAACAAGGGACCACTTGTGGTATCCGTGACAATATATACCGCCAAGTTCAGTAAAAATGTAGGTTCTGTATAAAAAAAAAATCATGCACTGAAACCTCTTAGATAGATAGCTAATGTTGATATTTAGAGCACTCTCTGGAGTAGCAAATCTACTGTGACATGTAAACCCATAAGTAGATAAGTTTCTAAGTAATGAGACCATTATTATTGTCGTAATATAGGTGAGCTATTGAAATTATTTTATCTAATAACCTCATCTCTACGTCAGCTCTCCGCTGTTCATTCATAAACATAATCTCCATGGTGATCTGGTCTTGTGGGATGTTGTTGAGGTAGCACGTGGACGCCAATAGGTCACTGATACCCTCGAAGAATGGACTGCCGAGGAAAGCAATATGCTTTCTGTTTTCCAGAGGAACCATATGACCTATTGAAAAATCAAACGATATATCAGTTTTCATATTATCTGTTCATTATCTAGTGATTCATGATTTCAAAGAAAATAAAACAACATTTTAGTCCGTAATTTTTTTCATGTGGTAAAGGATTCGTACCATATTACAGGATATCACTTCTGTATACCCTGACTTTCACGAAAAAAAATATCATTTTCCTAAATAATTTCAACTCCTCGCTGATTCCAAATGATTATTTATATGTTATCCAAGATTTTTTTTTTAATTCTAGGCAAGAAAATATCACTAGACACTGAAATGTTCCAATAAAATGCTACACTTTAGAGTGGCGCCCACTATGACCATATTAGGTATATGTGTATATGAACTTTTCTTCTTATTAGGTCACCTGAGACAAAGTCTCAAGTGACCTATTGCGATCGTCTTTTGTTCGTCGTCGTCCGTCGTGCGTCCGTAAACAGTTTACATTTTTGACTTCCCCTCCAAAACCCCTGAACCAATTTCAATGAAATTATGCAGAAACCTTCCATGGCCAAAGGTCAACAAATTTGTGGAGGATTTGGTCCCCAGCCCCCAGGGGCCTGATGGGCGGGGCCAAAAAGGGTCAAATTGACTAAAATTTCAAAAATCTTCTTTTCAAGACCCTGATATGGTAGAATCAAATACTCTTCATAGATGGTTGGGTCTTAGGTGCTTTACCAAAATTGAGAATTTCTTGACCCTGGGGTCTCACGTTTCCCCCTGTGGAGGGGGTACACTTTACTATAGTTTATATAGGGAAATCACATTTTGGACCAACATTTGTTTAATTTCCATTGGAAGTTATTCAATTTGGGTTAGCATTATCAGTATTGGATAGCAGTTTGAGGGTCAAAACCTTCTTCTCAAGACCCAGATATGGTAGAATCAAATACTCTTCATAGATGGAAGGGTTTAAGGTGCACTACCAAAATTGTGAATTTTATGACCCTATGGTCTCACGTTTACCCCAGATGAAGGGGGGGGGGGGCAACATTTATTATGGCAAATGATACTTTGAATATTACATGTTGATAACTTGATTGGAATTATAACCCTGAGTAAACAGATTGATACATTTGAACATTTTAAGCCAGCTTTACCCGCAAGGGCGCCCAAAGGAGTCAGTGTGCTACAATTTCTTCATTTTCCTTGTTTAGAATCAGAGGTGCTAGTTTCAAACACTTTTCAGTCTTAAATCTGTATGCTAGATATTGAATAAGGTTGTTTTAATGTTTTTTGTCACTTTGAATAATACGTATGTTCATGTTTTAAAAACAAAAATCAACTCTCTGTATAAATATATCTGAACTCGGGTGACCGTTAAGGCCCATGGGCCTCTTGTTGCTTTTTGATTGCCGCTCTAGGAAAATTAATAAGACCACTGTATTTTCATTATTTCCTGTTATAAAACAAAGGCAATAAACAATAAACCCAGTGATACCTCGGAGTAACGGACATTCCTCTTCTACGTTATTTATGCCCTTCCTCGGCTTCATTTGCAGGAAAAAGTACATGTATGTGTTGGAACAATTCATGATGTTGGTAAACGACAGAGTCACACTTGGCTCCTTGATTTCAAACACGTCATTGAACTTAACGTTAGTTTTTCCTAGGTCTGAGCACAGCGTCTTCAGATGTAGGCCAGCCCCGAGGATGTGCATGTTCTCGTTAAAGATGACACTGTAAGGAATTGCCAGGTGTAAACTACGGCGAGGCAGACTGACCATCTGGTTATCCATGTAGTGGTCCAGGTCTTCTGGTCGGATTCCTTTGTCCAAGACTACGCTACAGTTTCGATTATTTGATACATTTATACCCATTCCCCGATCCACGCCAATAACTTTCACGTCAAAAATCACATGCTCACAAAACTTTGATTCAAATATTTGTCCAGTTAATCTTTCGACAAGCTCCATCTCTATTTCTGTATCGAACAGTTCCTTAGCCACTTCCTTCAATGTACCTGTAATATATGGAATTGTACATTAGAATGTAATAGCAGTAAACCGCTCGTATATGACGATGCAAATATTTTCTATAATTCAGTTCAATGTTTTATCAATAATTGTATATTTGTTTCTCGATGTTTTTTCCAAAACCAGCCTGTCAGACACCTATTTAAAGCTAAATCTAAATCTAATACCTTTCATTTCAATATCTCATGCGTTTTTCTATTGACACCATCAGTTTATGAATGCAAGTTTTGTCTTTTAGCAGCCGTGTGGACAGAATCAGCTATTCTTGACACAAAACTGACTTTTGCAATTCTACCTAAAGCAGATTTATTGGAAATGTCTTTTTTTGGAAAACCGTCTGCAACCATGGTGTTATGTCATTTCGCCTAAGCATGTAGGGTAATGGTATAAGCTTAACAAAGACTGCCTGCTATATGTTACCAGTAACTACCTACAACGACCGGGTACATAGCTAGCCTCACTGTGTATACGTGTACCTACCTATGGCGACCGGGTACATAGCTTGCCTCACTGTGTATACGTGTACCTACCTACAGCGACCGGATACATAGCTGGCCTCACTGTGTATACGTGTGCCTACCTACAGCGACCGGGTACATAGCTGGCCTCACTGTGTATACGTGTACTAACAGCTTGTTGTTCTTCCTCTCACACCTGACAATATAAATCATGTTCTTAACACAACAATACAAGGCCGTATGTAAGAAAGGACACATATTCTTTTTTGGATCAAAAGCAATTCATGCTTGAGGAACACTGCAGATATATTGAAAAAGGTATAGTTGAATGTAAATGTGCTGATACTTAAAGAAATAATAAAATATGGTGATCACCCTTTTTCCAGTTGATTCATCATTCATATTAATCACAACTTTTCTTCCGAGAAGTATATTTTAATAAGTCTACCATGAAGGCGATATAGCTAATCTTCTTGTTCGCTAATAGCCCACTATTATTCGACAATAATACATGCACGTGCATGTGGGTGTTATTTTCCAAACAAACCATGCACGTCGCAACGCTCTTCCAAAATCCTTCCAAGTGTTTCTAAACATTTTCTTCTGGTTGGTAAGTATAGATTATGAGAAGTTCTTTTTACACAACAGAAAGAAAACAGTCGGAGTCCCAGATAAATAAATCGGCAATCACAGATAATGCCACACAGAAAAACCATGTGATTGACACGGATAACTCCAAAGTTTTGGGCAGAGGGAGCAATCTGTACAAGCGGCATATAAAGGAAGCCATCTGAATACGCCGCGGTGGGCCAATTCTAAATCGAGACGATGGGGCTCCAAGACTCTCGCACATCTATGACCAACTGTTTACAAAGCGTAGCTGAATTGAGTCATTTCGGTACATATATATATATACAACAACTATTGTACATACGTTTCCAGCATAGCCGAAATCGACATCGATTTTTTGGACAACTCGTACATATTTTACACCTTCGTGTGCATACGCTTCATTGGTCATTTGTCTGATAAAGGTGACAGTGTACACATCGTACTAGTCATCGAAACTTCACATAGAAAAGTTTGTTAGTTGTGTAAAAATAACTTCTCATAATTCTTCCAAGTGTTGCAAATGTAAAACGTATGTGTTTATAACTTGTTTTGAAAAGAATAACCTCTGTCGACTGCGGGAAAATGCGTTCACATGAATGTGTTATAGGTTTTATAAAAACTCATTTTGCTAGTTGCAAGACAGGAAAATTCTCAGCAACGTCCAAAAATGATAACATCAGCATACCGAGAAACTCGGTGGGAACACGTACCGAAACTGCGGAGGACGCATTCCCTTGTAGGTAAGTGCCAACAGCGAGTGGAGCAGATCAAGGTTCTGGACGAAAGAGACGAAGTCCCGCCCTAAGGTTTTCATCATACGATCATAACCACGGGAATAGGCATACTTATAGAAATGGCGACCGTATGACTCCAGTAGCTGGGGTAGGTCGATACCTGAAAGTGAGTGAATGGAAATTTAGGTTATACTTAAAAATAGATTCATGTGACATTTAAGGTAATAACTACATGGACGAGGATATGCTGCAGTCATTTTTAAAAACAAAGCATGTTCTGCAAAAAAGTGATGTTCAGTGTTACCAATGCAGAACGTCCCTACCAACCCCAACATTCGTCATGTCACCAATACTTAATATGGTCTGATGCCTTTATATGCATTTCAACCGATTGATGTAGATTCTCTTTAGTGACAAGCATTTAATAAACTTTTTTTTTTTACTTTTTTAGGAATTTTTTTTATACAAACAGATATTTTTTGTCTCTATAGTTATTTTTTAAGTACGTTCAGCAGTAAATGACCCATCGTCGAGTTGATTCATGTGTATGCAAATATCGAAAACAAGATAACAATCAGTCTAATACCATGGGGATCGCACAATTTCCTTTCATTTTATCAGATTTTATTGACTTTATATATGTCAATTGGATTGGACATCAGGCGAGGCCTATTTAAGTCCTTTCCAAACTTATTTACAAACATTACATATATTGCGTACACTTAAGGAAAGGATAAAGGACCACGTGGCGAACATCCGGCTGAATAGAGATATTCTGTCATAACAATTCAATTAAACAGTGCAGTGGAGATAACTCCAATTTAGCTTGTGAAATGAACATTTTACAACTTTTGTTTAATCATTTTCTGTTTATGTTTTAGATATTAACAATTAAATAAATCATGTGTATTTATTGACAACCCATCCTACATAAAATCCAAGGGATACAGGCCCAAAAGTCCCTGTGTATAAACACATTGGCCATCCACCCACTGGATATATAGGATAAGTTACCAAGAAATAAACATTTTGTAAAATTTCAGAATATGATATGGATTCATATAGGAAAATGTAGTTATTATTATATATTATTGGAGTTGATTCTCCTAAAATTTATTTAACAAAGCACTATAGAATATTCATGTAACTATGAAATAGTTAGAACAGGTTATAGAATAGTACACTCATAAATTCCATCTAGTCCAGCCGAATACCAGAGATGTTGTGAAGATAGATATACACCAGCATCAATAATTACTAGCAGAGTGATCATGACACTATAGATAAAAGCATCACTTTCAATGTAAAGTTTTGCTGTGAGTGAGATTACATATCAAGCCTATTAGTTTGACAAGTGTAGTCAGATATACTTTGTAAAATGGATATGTTAATATCAGCGTTGCATATTAAGCATCCCTTTAATCGAGTTTTTAGATTAAAATGATCATGATTACCAGTTATACCAAGTTGAGAAATTTTTATTACTAATTGCATTCTAAAGTTGTTATAGAGTGGGCATTCAAATATAAAATGAAATGCATTTTCATTTTCAAGTCCACATCTACATGCTGGTGTGTCATTCAGATGATCCATATATAAGTCACTATTTAGGTTGCTAGCATGATTTCTCAGCTGACAAATTATGATATTGAATTTTCTTGGCCCATAGTATTTAAATGTGCTAGCAATTTCTTCAGTGTTGTTCATATTATCAGATTTGATGAAATTTTTAAATTGTTGAAGGGAAGTAGCATTTAAGGTTTCTGCAGATAGAAGGTTAAATTCTCTACACATTGAGGGAAAATAACTATTGAAATAATTCTCAGTTCTACAGAAAGGGGGATTGAAAATACGGCTATTTCTTAGTGGGTATCTTACATTTATATTGCTGTGAAGGTATGGTTCAATGATGTCTTCTAATATAAGTACTTAGGCGATTCATTATTTAAAATTTTGAACATAAGTGCTAATTTATGATTTTTTCGCCTACAACAAAGTGATTCAAGTCCAGTTTCTGCATAAAGCTTACAATGAGAGGTCCCTCTACGCAATCCTGTAATAACTCTTAATGCCGTCAACTTATTTTCATTATCGTATGAATGAAAGGCCCAGAACGCGATTGTCATATCCGATTTCTTTTCTCAATTAGAGCAATTATTTTCTGATATTTAAATCGGGAGATTGTTGTCCAAACTGTTTTTATTCCTTTATCGATTCGCATTCGTCTTTGTATCTTTCCCTCTCAATAAATCTTCAGATCTTGCCAATATTACATGTCATACTTTCTGTACTGTATACATGGAAGGTACCCGCTATAGAATGTAGAATAGATTTTTGTATAATAAAAAGAAATTCAGTAATTAATCCTTTTCCAAATAAGAATTATTATTGAATAATACATGTCGTAAGCACACATGGACTCAAAATCTAAAATCATTTACGAATGTAGATCATGCAAATTTTAATAGGATCCGTGATAGTGACATTATTTCTGTGTTTCGCACGAATGTGAAATTATTGATGAAGAATATTGATCGCTTTTAAAAACATTGCATAATTGCATCCATAAATTGGTCATGATGCCGACATGAAAGTGATGGTAGGATTCTCCTGAATGTAAATCTTTCATTTATTCCATTCAATAACGTCAATGTAGTCATTGTGCTTACTAATCAAAATCTCATCTTTTCTTCGTGTAAATTAACTGGTGTAATTATTATGTACCTGACGGAGCAGTAGATCCTCCTTAATGACAATGATTCTTTTAAGTTCGATATCTGAAGGAAAACTACTTTGTATTGCAATTTTGTTTAATTATTTTGTAAGACAAACATTGTTTTATAGATATGTTTTATTTTGTTTAGAAATAATAACTGGAATATGCCCTGACATTGTCTACTCTTCAGTAAGGAATATAACGATTTTAATGTATCTTCCATCTAGATGATCTTGGAGTTGGATCAGCCATTCCCAGTTATTACTACAGAAAGTCGTTAATGATGTAGGTGACATTAATCGGGGGTACTTCCAGATAGTGTATAATGATAGGTATGATTCCAGTTTCTTAGTTACACTATCGACCAGTGTGGAAGGCATGCAGTGTTATCAATAACTACACCAGTTCCTGTAATTACTGTAAATAATTTATCAGCTGGCAAACAATCAATAATGAACCTTACTATGAAGTACAGTCATCTAGAAAATGACAGGTGTAATATCGGACCGGATCCAAACCTAGGGGCTGAAAGATTGTGTTGTATTGATCTTCGAAGAACAAACTATATTATTTTCTAACACGATTTTAATTTTTGGTTTTTGAATGTTGTAGTTATTTGAATCTTGTTTAGTCTTAGCATACAATTTGAATTGTGCATTTGATGAACTTGTTTTAACAAATAATAACAAAAAGTGGCAAAAAGCATAATGGAAATTATATACAATAGCATCAGCACGCAAGAAAATAGTCCGAACTCAGTGCCGAAAAAACGATGACAAAACTCGAGGACATAAACTGAAGTACACGCATCAATATCCAAGAAACTATACCATACTTAGTGAAGGACCAAACCAATCCTATTGTTTTACAAATACTTTGGTGATGGATAAAATTGACCATACTACAGTAAAGGATCAAATTGGTCCATACTACACTGAAAGGACAGAGCTAGATCATACTAATTGACAAATCAAACTAGACCTTAATTACACTTAAACGCCACACGTAACCCATACTGCAGAGAACGATCAATTAGGAGGCACGGTAGTCTAGTGGTAGGACGCCGGGCTCGTGACCGAAGGGTTCCGAGTTCGACTCTCGTCACGGTACTGTGTTGTATCTTTCAGCAAGATACTTTACTCCACTTGTTCCAGTCTACTCGGCTGTAAATGAGTGCGTGGTTGGATAGTGCTAGAATTGTAGGATGCTAGCTGTGAGCGCCGAAAATGCAGCACCGGCTGTGTGCTCCCCAGGGAGTTGAGAAAGATATTGGCTGGTTGCAAAGGCCCTATAACCACGGATAATAATTCGGAACCGCTTTGAGACGACCTACGAACTAGGTTGTGATTTTTTTATTTTGTCTGTGTGGTAGTATTTTCTTACGATACTATACCCCTATTTATACAACAGACGTTAATCTATGGTTTGTAATGCTTTCGCTCGGTCATTTTCAGTACCTTCTGTATTGCTTACCCACGACACCTTGGATTGCTCCAACCAGTTTGAATGTGTTATCGTCTTTGTAGTAATGGAACAACATGAAATCGTTATCGTCATCAAGGTCAGCATCCTTCCTGTTCCAACGTAACATACATTGCATTATTTATACTAATAACATTGTTTTCCATCATCGAGACAATTTTCCGTTATACACTGTTTACAGGTTAAAAATAAAGTGTGTTTTTTACAACAATTATGAAACAAGTTATTTCAACTTATATTAATAACTCTTGTTGGCCCGGATGTTAGCGCTCGGGAGTCTTAATGTTGGAGGAAACTGGAGAACCCGTAGAAACCCCACGTGGTCAGGCAGGTGACCCCATACCTTGTTTACGTCCGATGGAAGAATCGAACCCTCGTCGCCTTGGTAAAAGGCAAGTGCGATATCCACTGCGCCACCCAACCATCCTGGTGTATAGGTTCATTTTGCACAACCAGTGAAATATCTTTGCGATGTTTCGATGACTTCAGTACGATATGAACCCTTTAATCTTTATCAGACCAACGGTCTTTGATGAAGGTAACGGAACACATATCGCACTAATTCATCGAAACTTTAAGCATGATGATTTCACTGATAAGCGCTATATGCACCTATATATATATTTCCCAGATTGATAAAAAACGCATTTCAGGCGACTGGTTTATTTATAACTGTACAGAAATGAAAGCAATCGTATTAGAGGGTACAAGCAGCAATTTGAGAGAAAAAAAAATGAATAATTTTGCTACAGTAATCTGTTATCTTCTTTGTTTAGGTTATTTTACACGGACGCATATCTAAACGCTCGACTATACTAAACATTATGTCACCGGGGTCCATGTTAAAAGCGTTTTGTTCATACTTACAGAACTTTCTCCCACTGTTCCCTGCCGTATGTCTCAATACAAAATTCCCTCAAACAAAGATGTACGTGTCCATGCTATAAAAAAAAAGATTTACATGCAAACTTTATTTTACAAAAAGTATCAACTTAATCACCAAATACGTGACCAAGCTAAACCAAAAGAATGACTACATTTTACATAACAATCAAACCATGGGTGTCTGTGCTCTAAGTTGATATTGTCATTGTCTTTCATAAAACAGAAATAAAATCACAAGTCAAGTCATTAGGTGTCAGTGTTAAAACTAAATCTTGGTATCGTTTTACAATAAATAACAATCGAATCACAAGTGTCTCAAATTTTAAGGGTACAGATTGGCTTCATTTTACATAATTCTGGTAATAACCCCATTGCAAGAAAAGTGTCGACGTTAAAAAAGGTGGACTTCCTTTTAGATTATATAAAACACATGCGATTACAAGATAAATGTCCATGCTAAAATAAAGATGGACTTTGTTTTACATCAACAACAACCTAATAATAAGGTAAGTGTACATGGTAAATATAGATTAACTTCGAATTTCATACAGTGGCAATGCATCATGAACTAAAAGCTACTTCTAAATCTTACTCTATGCCTTGCACGGAAAGTCTTACCCTTCGTTGTAATGTGTGTTTTAATTACGTCTTGTTGTATGTCTGCTTTAGTCTGTGTTTGCGTGGCACTAACATACTACCCGGTGTAAGACAAATATGTTCTATCTATTGGACATTAACATTCTACCTTGTCTATGATTTTATAATTCGTTAATTATTCAGCCATGATATATTTGCAACAGAAATATAAATATCGCTATAACATCACTGACCGTTTTGTATTACCATCTTTTTTTTAATCCTGGTAATAATCAAATTGTTTACATTTCAACTCGATGTAGACTCTGTCAATTAGTTTTAATTGGAAATTTTACCAAAGAGTGATATTTCATGACATTTTCGACTTCTTCAATACCTTTAGTCATTGAACAATTCTAAATAAGAAAATCTGCGGAGAAACATGGTTTTAAAAGGAAATTGACAAACTTAAAGGTTTGCTAAATGGCATGGAACACGCTGTCCACTGCACTAGGTTTTACTATATTTATGGAACATTTCTTTGAGCTCCAACAAGTTGAAATCACTCTCTATAATAAATCTCAATCAATAACAGCGCTATAAACGATCAAACCGATTCAGGAGATGAAACAAATATCCAATGCTCTGCCTGAAGTGAAGTGTTTGATATGTAAAAACATCAAATGTTTAAGCCTTCCTGAAAGTAATTCTGTTTCGCTGTGAAATTACACGAGCCAGGCACCATAACAGCCGTATCGCACGACCGATTAACTTATTTCACAGGTACTGTGATGTTTTGCACAATCACACTGGCTAGTTAAATACTATGAGCAATATTATATTTACCCATGATTCTCAAACAGATGCCTATGTGCTAGATTATTAGGTTATAATACCATTTTTCTCTTGTTCTGTTCCGTTGGTATTTTCTAATGTAGCGGCTGAACATGATACAAACATTCGTCAGTTGTTCAAAGAGACGACCGTCATTTCGCTGAGTTGTACTGCTGTGCTTACAAGCTAATATTTTAAACTCCCTTCAATTGTTGCTGTAGTAACGTGGTCAATTCAAGTTACTGACGTGTACATATTGGTTATTTTCACCTGTGTTTTTACTGTTTTTACACGAAGCCAAGGTACATCTTACATAAACAACTGGTTCCTCTCCGCAAGTCTTCAACGTCACGCTGTCTTGTCTATTGTCATTGTGCATATCATGTATCAAAGTAGAAATGAGATGGCTTCGGTACAGGTTACAACTTATAGTAGGATTTGGAACGGCATCAAAATATGATAAGAAGGAAAATTGTAAAAGTTCTAAACAAATAGCATGAAAACTTTTTAAAGTCAGTTTTTGAAGTGATTATTCACTGCATTTTGTTATATAGTTTAGTATAGGCGTTTCGTTTTGTAGAAAATAAAACATTGAAAACATTTGAAAGCAAGGCATTAACAAACAATAAAATTATCTTTTGATTTATTAAGGTCACTTCCGGTAATTTTTACACACCTTTTGAAGGATATAGCCGCATAACGCAGAGCACTCTTTGTGTGAAACATTTAGAATCATTTCTCGGAGCACTCTTTTTCGGATATAGAAGTACTGTCAAATAAGCAAAAGGACATAAGTCAACCTTGGAAAAAATTCAAGATTTTATAACAAGAAATTAACAAAAATGCTTCAGAGCGTCTTCCAATTGAATATGATTTAACTATGAATTATCTTTTGATTTTTTTTATTCACATCTAGCAAAATCTCGTATAAAATAAGCCCAGAAAAGATAAGAATATCATACACATATACAGGGTTTGTATAGCGCATTACCATATGTGTTATTGATTCCCTCCATCAGTTATTGAAAACATAAAAAATGACAAAGTAAATGTACCGAACATAATGAGTCGACAGCATTTATGAAATGTAACGAGTTTCCTCCGTTGACGGATGATATGTGATCCTATTCGAGGAGTTGTGGATTGTATCAGACATCTAGGAATGTGGTCAATCGATACTGATCGGAATCATTTTATTTCCGTAAAGTCTGAAATGTCTGTGTAGAGTTTAAGTGTGCTAAATTATTGATTACAAAACCATGAAATTAATGTGTCCATGACATGTATCATATCAATTTTAAGATTTATTGTACTTCATGGAACTATTTGTGTCACTACTAAACACCAAACTGTATTGAACTCCAAGCATTTCGCGTATCTCTACGATATTAAGCTCCCTAAAGTTATGCTGTGGTAGTTTCCGTATTTCTTTGCCTTTAGTGCAAACATTTTCTAACATATGCAAATAGAAATTAAATTGAAAAACAATTCATCACAAGTAAAATCAATATATAAACATTAAATGTAAAACGACATGACTAATTGGATATTTACAATCTGCTCGGAAGCAATGTTTTCGTCTTCAGAAACCAATATAGATTAACAGCAGTAAACAAGTATTTTTAACAATAGATTATCGTTGTTGTTTTCATTTTGTTTAAAGTGAATAATATCTTGGTCTAAATACTTCCTGAATTCTTATCGGAGATCCAGTTTATTACATTTTCGTCTACATGCTTAACAATTTCTTTTGATATCTAAAATATATAACAACTTGGTCTACATATAAGATCTTTTCTTATCATGTATTACCTGTATTACCTGTATAACATTTCAGTCCATATACGTAATCATCTCTTATCAGAAATTACCTGTATAACATTTTAGTCCATTTACTTAATCTTCTCTTATCAGCCATTCCCTGTATAACATTTTGGTCCAAATAGTTAATCATCTCTTATCAGACATTTACTGTATAACATTTTGGTCCATATAGTTAATCATATCTTATCAGACATTTCCTGTATAACATTTTGGTCCATATAGTTAATCATCTCTTATCAGACATTTACTGTATAACATTTTGGTCCAAATACTTAATCATCTCTTATCAGAAATTACCTGTATAACATTTTGGTCCATATAGTTAATCATCTCTTATCAGACATTTCCTGTATAACATTTTGGTCCATACACTTAATCATCTCTTATCAGACATTTCCTGTATAACATTTTAGTCCAAATACTTAATCATCTCTTATCAGACATTACCTGTATAACATTTTGGTCCAAATACTTAATCATCTCTTATCAGAAATTACCTGTATAACATTTTGGTCCATATAGTTAATCATCTCTTATCAGACATTTCCTGTATAACATTTTGGTCCAAATACTTAATCATCTCTTATCAGACATTACCTGTATAACATTTTAGTCCAAATACTTAATCATCTCTTATCAGACATTTCCTGTAGAACATTTTGGTCCATACACTTAATCATCTCTTATCAGACATTACCTGTATCACATTTTGGTCTGTATACTTAATCATCTCTTATCAGACATTACCTGTATAACATTTCAGTCCATATACTTAATCATCTCTTATCAGACATTTCCGGTATAACATTTTAGTCCATATAGTTAATCATCTCTTATCAGACATTACCTGTATAACATTTTCGTTTGTATACTTAATCATCTCTTATCAGACATTTCCTGTATAATATTTTGGTCCAAATACTTAATCATCTCTTATCAGACATTTCCGGTATAACATTTTAGTCCATATAGTTCATCATCTCTTATCAGACATTACCTGTATAACATTTTGGTCTGTATTCTTAATCATATCTGATCAGACATTACCTGTATAACATTTCAGTCCATATACTTAATCATCTCTTATCAGACATTTCCGGTATAACATTTTAGTCCATATACTTAATCATCTCTTATCAGACATTACCTGCATAACATTTTGGTCTGTATTCTTAATCATCTCTTATCAGACATTTCCTGTATAATATTTTGGTCCAAATACTTAAACATCTCTTATCAGACATTTCCGGTATAACATTTTAGCCCATATACTTAATAATCTCTTATCAGACATTTCCGGAATAACATTTTAGTCCAAATACTTAATCATCACTTATCAGACATTTCCGGCATAACATTTTAGTCCATATTCTTAATCATCTCTTATCCAACATTACCTGTATAACATCTTGATGTATATATTAAATCAGTTCATATCTTGTATTACCTGTATAACATTTTGGCCTGTATTCTTAATCATCTCTTATGAGACATTTCCTGTATAACATTTTGGCCCATATACTTAATAATCTCTTTTCAAACATTACCTGTATAAATTCTGAAACAGGATTTTATATGTGTTCCCATTAATCACATCTATCAAAATCTCGTATAAAATAAGCCCAGAAAAGATAAGAATATCATACACATATACAAGGTTAGTATAGCGCATTACCATATGTGTTATTGATTCCCTCCATCAGTTATTGAAAACATAAAAAATGACAAAGTAAATGTACCGAACATAATGAGTCGACAGCATTTATGAAATGTAACGAGTTTCCTCCGTTGACGGATGATATGTGATCCTATTCGAGGATTT